GGTGCGGGGACAACACTGAGGGTTGCGATCTGTTGCCGGACACGGAAAAAGACAAAAAAAACAAAAAAACAAAAAAAAACAAACAATTCTTAACACAGATAATCTTTACACTTTGGAAAACTAAATTGGATACAATTGTTCTATTTCCCCCTTTAAAATTAATTTTAAAAAAAATCTAACAACATTATTTATACTAACAAGAATTTTATTTGATCTGGTGATGTTACTCTTGAGAAGTGGAATTATCAGCTGACGTCAGTGTTCTCAACCTGTCTTTACCAACTCGCCAGGTATAACGTTCAAAATTTCTAAACATTTAGAACAATTTTCAAAACCTTAATCAGACAAGATTCTACGCTGCCGAGGTACCAGTACCATCATCTAAGACAGGAGGGGGTTTAAAGCTGCTCTGTTTTAGAGAGGTATGTTTAAAAGATAATCTTGTTTAATCTCTCATACGCAATTAATTTTATTTTGATGTTTTAAAACAGAACTTGAAATAGGTATCACAAAATTCTTTCAGAGTAGCCTCAGAACCACTTCCCCACACCTGGGGGTTGAAGATTCCCGCTTCACTAAAAGTAGACGCCACGTTCACCCCCTAGTGTGGGGAGCAACCCGGCGCACTCCGGGTAGGGGCCGCAGGGCCTTGGCGGGGCGGAACCATTCCGCTCGCCGCCGCGTTTCCGGGCGGAGACACTCGGGCGGGACACATGTCCGCCGCAGACAGACGCCGCCGCGGGGGGCTTGGGCGCAGCCATGAAGTTTCGGGCCAAGATCGTGGACGCGGCCTGTTTGAATCACTTCACGAGTGAGCGGGGAGCGGCGGGGAGCGAGGGAGGACCGGAAGGAGGCCGGAGGCGTGCGCAGGAGCCCGCGGGAGCGTGGGGGCGAGGGTGCGGGCGCTGGAGGACGGGGAGGGATGGGGCAGGTGGGTGCTGCGGCCAGATAGGGGCGGGGGAGCGCTGGTGGGGTTGAGGGCGGGTTCCGAAGTATGTTTTGAAATTTGATTCCAATCACGTGGTTTTAAAAAATTGAGCCGGCCGGTAGACCTCCTTATTTGGCATAGACATTCCTTAGGTCGGGGCCCATTCGTCTTTCCGCCCTGACTGTGCCTAATCTTACCCTGACTCTGATGCAGCACCCAGTGGTAAATAAGTTTGTTGACTGAATGAGTGGCCCACAGGGGCCAGTTAATCACTCAGCCTCAGTTTCCTTATTCGAACCCTGATGGTGTGGGCTGCATACCTGGAGGAGATATTGGGAGACTGGCAGGACATTAGCGATGTTAAAATTACTTTCCAGTGTAATACCAGCATAAACAGTTATTTTTCCACTGGGTAGTTGCACCGTGATGGCCTAGAAGTTCTGCAAGATAAGTTGGCCTCTATGACACATGATGTGGTTTTAGTAATTCCTTACTTTAACCCCTGCTTTAGGAGTCAGTAACATGATAGCCAAGCTTGCCAAAACCTGTACCCTCCGCATCAGCCCTGATAAGCTGAACTTCATCCTTTCTGACAAGCTGGCCAGTGGAGGGGCGAGCATGTGGTGTGAGCTGGAACAGGTGAGCAGAAACTCCTGAGAAGCCTGCAGACTGCACAGCCGAATGCCACTGAAAAGGCCACAAATGCCTCCGTTTTCTTCCCTTAGGAGAACTTTTTCAGTGAATTTCAGATGGAAGGTGTCTCGGCAGAAAACAATGAGATTTATTTAGAGCTAACATCGGAAAACTTATCTCGAGCCTTGAAAACTGCCCAGAATGCCAGAGCCTTGAAAATAAAACTGACTAATAAACACTTTCCCTGTCTCACAGTCTCTGTAGAGCTGGTAAGTAGGAGTGACAGTGTTTCTGAAGTTTTCCTCAAGGGTCCTGGCCTCGAAGGAATAGAAGTAGTTATAAGCCTAGTGGCCTCAAAGGAATAGAAGTAGTTATAAGCCTAGGCTTTTTAATAATATTGTTGAAAGCTAATTGGTTTTATTTAGAATTAAAGATCTGGTGCATGACTATTTTTTTTCTGTTAGAGTCAGTTCCTCCTCATTCTGAAATTGTGTTGTAATTATACAAAATTCCACTATGATGCTGCCTTTTCCAAGCAATTAAACTTCCAGTGTCTCTATTTTTTCTAGTGGTATTGTCACCTAGGCTAGAAATCATGGTTTCTATCCATTTTTGCCTTTGATATGTCCCCCTTTATATGAAGTTTTGCTTTCTGTGGTTTCGGTTACCTGTGGTCAACTGCTATCTGAAAATATTAAATGAAAAATTCCAGAAATAAACAATTTATAAGTTTTAAATTGTGCCATTCTGAGTAGCATGGTGAAATCTTGAGTTGTTCTGCCTGGGACATGAACCGTCTCTTTGTCCAGTGTATCCATACTGTATATGCTACCCATCTGTTAGTCACTTGGTAGCTGTCTTAGTCATTTTCTTCTGCTTATAACAGAATACCTGAAACTGGGTAATGTATAAAGAAAAGAAGTTTATTTATTACAGGTTTGGAGCCTAGGAAGTCCAAAGTCTAGGGAGCACATCTGGTGAGGGCCTTCTTCTTGGTGGGGACTCTGCTGATTCCTGGGCGTCACAGGATATCACATGGTGAGAGGGCTGAGCATGCTAACATGCTTCTTCCTCTCCTTATAAGGCGCTAGTGTCACTCCCAAAATAACCCATTCATCTATTAACCCATTAATTCATGAACGGTTAATCCATTCCTGAGGGTGGCACCTGCCTGATCCAATAACCTTCCGAATGTCCCACCTTTCAACATTGCCACGTTGGGGATCAAGCTTCTACATGAGCACATGAGCTTTGGAGGGGACAAACATTCAGACCATAGCAGTAGCCCTCTCAGTTATCAGATCAACAGATTATGAGAAGAAGAGTGAGTGCAGTACAATAAGAAGTTGAGAGAGACCACATTGACGTAACTTATTAACTGTAATTGTTATAGTTGCTCTATTTTTTTTATTAGTTACTGTTGTTAATCTCTTACCATGCCTGATTTATAAACTAAACTTTATCAGAGGTATGTATGTATTGGAAAATTGTATGTATGTATCATATAGGGCTCAGTACTATCTGTGGTTTCATGCATCCACTGGGGTTCTTGGAACGTATCTTCTTCGGATAAGGGGGACTACTGTATCTTTAAATGATCACCTGTTCTTCAGTGACACATCTTACATGCTGTTAGATGAGTTCAGTGCACAACTCTCCTCAGAACACACACACACACACACACACACACACACACAGCCCCCAGAGTGGCTCTTGCTTCTCATAGAATGAGGATTATATTTCTTAACATGATGTTTAGACCCTTCACTTATGGACCAACTCATCTTGGAGCTAAATTGCAAACTCCTACCCCTGAGTGGTTCCCTGGGTGTGTTCCATTCTTTTCCAGCTCTCAGACTGGTGACGCTGGGGCTTCCACTTGGATTCTTTTTCGACTTCTCACTCTGTGAAACCTTATCTTCCTTTAGTGCTTAGCACCAAAGCTCCTCCCTTTCTGGCCTTCCTCCTTATATGTTGTATGTACCTTATACATCTACAGGTGAGTATTGTGTTCAGTTTCAAGCTCTCTATGGAAGAGGATTCCTCAGCTTTTCCTCAGTTCTTTGCAATCAGGCAGTTCTTAGAGCTAATCAGAGTATCCTGTGTCACAAAATAAGTTTGGCGTTTCTTCAGTTGCTTAAGAGAAAGCAAGTTAGTAACATGTAATATTTTTCTATTTAAAAGTGCAAGATACTTTGATCTCTGATCTGATGGGAGCCCCTAGAAATGGATAACCATAGTTTATCTTTCCAGCTGTGTAGAAACCGCAGCACACCGAGTGTCCTGTGGGCAAAGAAAGGTCTCTCACTGCTTTGACATAGCAGAGTTTGCTTCTTTCTGCCTCATGGCTTTACATATGCTGTTTCTCCTGCCAGAAACCCTGTCCCCTCAGCCCCATCTTCCTGTGGCTGCTCTTCCTTGTTTTAGTGTCATCTGAAATTTCACCTCAGAGAGGCCTCCCCTGACCTCCCAGTCTAAGAAACCTCCCCCTCACTCACCCTGGGGGATTCCAGAGTTTTTGAGTATGCATGCATCTCAAAATTAGTTATTGAGCACCTGTCATTACTAGAGTATGTTAATATTTTCAATACTTGTGATTTTTCTTATTGGTTTTGTAGGTTAGTATTTATTTGCCAGTCTTGAAGACTATGAAGAGTGTTGTGGAGAAAATGAAAAACATCAGTAATCACCTTGTAAGTCACAGCTTCTTTGGAAAAGAACTCTGAAGTATTTAGTTAGCCTGTGTGGGCTGCACGTCCTGGGAGGGAGCTTCTCTGTGGAGGGAGGCTCCGTGGAAGGAGGCATGGCTGCTCTCATGCTCACAGGCAGGTGGACGTTCCTCCCGCTCAGGAGGACCCAGCCTGGTGTTGAGAAGCTGCAGTGTGACAGTTGCCTTTAGAAACCTGTTCCAGTGCTTTTCATCTCTCATTCACTGAGAAAAGCTCTGAATCCCTGTGTTTATATTTATAGTATATTAAGAATATGTTCAGCAGTTCTGCCCACTTTTTCTTATATTTTAGACAGAACATTACATCCTTTAAGGATTCCAGAGTTTTTGAGTATGCATGCATCTCAAAATTAGTTATTGAGCACCTGTCATTACTAGAGTATTTTAATATTTTCAATACTTGTGATTTTTCTCATTGGTTTTGTAGGTTAGTATTTATTTGCCAGTCTTGAAGACTATGAAGAGTGTTGTGGAGAAAATGAAAAACATCAGTAATCACCTTGTAAGTCACAACTTCTTTGGAAAAGAACTCTGAAGTATTTAGTTAGCCTGTGTGGGCTGCACGTCCTGGGAGGGAGCTTCTCTGTGGAGGGAGGCTCCGTGGAAGGAGGCATGGCTGCTCTCATGCTCACAGGCAGGTGGACGTTCCTCCCGCTCAGGAGGACCCAGCCTGGTGTTGAGAAGCTGCAGTGTGACAGTTGCCTTTAGAAACCTGTTCCAGTGCTTTTCATCTCATTCACTGAGAAAAGCTCTGAATCCCTGTGTTTATATTTATAGTATATTAAGAATATGTTCAGCAGTTCTGCCCACTTTTTCTTATATTTTAGACAGAACATTACATCCTTTATCTGCTAATTTGCATATATATTTTTTAATGAATCACTGCATATATATATATATATTTTTTTTTTTTCTCCTTTTTGTCTTTTTTTGTGTCCGGCAACGGATTGCAACCCTCAGTGTCGCGCCCGTACCGGGCCGGGACCGGCAACGGGCTTGCAACCCTCGGTGCTGCGCCCACACCTCACTCAGCCAGTGAGCGGGAACCGGTCTGTATGTGGGATCCGAACCCTCGTTGGGAGCGCCGCCGCGCTTCCCTAGCGGCGCACTGTAGCAGTGCGCCACCGGGCCGGCCCCATATATTTTTAATGAATCACTGATGTGATTGACAGTGATATTGGAGTGTCTCGTCTGCTTGCGAAGTATCTTTCAGTGAGCCTAAAGACAAAAATCCCCCAAATCATAGCAGTTTTTATTCTAAGCAGCTCTCACACCAAGCTGATGGGCACTTTTATTTCTCTGTTTATTTGTGAAGGTCTTCTACTGCTACAAGTCATGAAATGCTACTGTGTGTGACAGTGATGGGAAATTGTGTGGATTATCCTTGTTCATATCTGGGGTATCCTGAATTCTTCCTTCACTTACCCCCATCCCCCAAAACCACATGTGACTGTGTCCCTGAATTTTTTAAAAACCGCAGTCCACCTGATGAACTTTTGATTTTTACAATCTGCTAGGCCACCTCTGCAGCCATCCCTCCAGCCAGGGTGCAGAACCACACCGGGCCCTGTCATTCCCCCACATTGCTACTTCTTTTTTGGTTCTGTTTCTTTGCCGTTTCACTCTTGGTTTCTTCTCTCTACTTCCCTGGAAAGCACTTAGCCATTCTCACTGTTCATCCAGACCTTTCCCCAGTGCCCCGTCTGGCAGCGCTCCTCTGCTCAGCTGTCCTGTCCGCACACATGGTAGATTAGTGGCTAATATCTCAGAACTCCTGCTGAACTGGCAACTTCTTGAAAAGGGAAGCCCTGTCTTCATCATCTTTGTACCCCAGCCGCCCAGTGTAGGATTGTCACTCGGTAGGTGGTGGTAGATGTTGTTTCATGGATCTAAGTGAAATTGAGCTTCAGGGGGTCTTTGGAATCACAAGAGCTTTTTGAAGCCTAGGAAATGTTCACGGGCCATTGTTTCTCTAGAGTTCTGCTCACTTAAGAGCAGTGCTGTTATTGGGCTTGCCTGAGTGTAAGCTTTCTCTTTGTAATTTAATCTTTATAGATCTCATTTTAATTTAAAATCTGCTTCTGATATAGCAGTGTGTGCTATGCTGACATTGGTGTCCACCTGTGACTGCAGTGATGTTGATCCAGTTGTCAGGCTGGCTTCTTCTAGGGACACCTGGGGGACTTCTAGAGAGACTCAGGCCTAGGAGAGAAAAGTCAGGCAATTAATTGGCGATACATTCGTTTGTTCTTTCTGTTGAGTGGAACTCTAGGGACACCCCGGGGACTTCTAGAGAGACTCAGGCCCAGGAGAGAAAAGTCAGGCAATTAATTGGCGATACATTCGTTTGTTCTTTCTGTTGAGTGGAAATGAGTCAGCAAAGTAGAGGTGGAAGGCAGTTCAGATAAAGTCATCAGAGGCGTTTTCTCTTTTCTCTTTTCTGGAGTGTTTAAAAAACATATAGAAATTTTGTGGAGTGGTTACTGCAATCTGGAATTACTAAATGGAAAGTTGTCAAGGTGGGCAAGTATATAATGAGATCTACCTGGGTAACCAGAACTCTGTGTCTGAAGATTATAGGGAATAGGGTTAAGGAAAATGAGGGGGCTTAACACACTAAAAATGTACACCTTCTCATCAGAGATGCTCAGTACCTTTTCTTCAATGTGAGATGTGACTGACGGGGGTGAGTTGTGTATGTGACTCGTGGTGGAGCAGAAAAAGGAGCAAGGACTACCAGGAATCCACATCGTATTCTAAGATGTTGCTTCTAAGCCCTATTGTGGATGTGAATGCCCTGGGATCTGGTTAAAATGCAGGTTATGATTTGGAGGTCTGGGCTGAGACGAGCTCCTGGGGGATATCAATGCTGCCTGTCTTTGGACCATGTCAAGTAACAGTGTTTTGTGATGTGTGCCAAACTATGTTGTACCTGAAATGTCTCAGAAACAGCTTCACAGGATCAGCTTAATGATTAAAACAAAAAAGTCCAGCTTTAGGGCTGAGAGGAGTCATGATGTGGAAGAGGGGTACAACTGGGCTCAGCTCCTGGCTGCACCGCTTAGTGTGAACCCCAGTGCTGGGTATTACCCCAAATGGGGACAATAATGCAGCTATGACAGGGGTTTTGTTCACTTTTTGTGAATTTAGAGATCATTTATGTTAGGTGCCCAGTACAATTAGTTGGCATTCAACAAATGGTAGGTAACTGTCATTAAGGAGGTCATAGAAAGAAGTAAGATCTTATACTTAAGAAATTGATTATGTTGATGCATATAATATTCTGAATAACTGAATCATAAAATAGATATGGGTGACTGATGTTCAGAGAATTAGTCATTTTTAATTCCTTCGGTAAGTGTTGATTGAACATTGCCATGTGCCAGATACTGGGTATGGTCAGGAGTGAGTTGGAGTCTAATGTTGCTGTCCAAGGGACTAATTCCATCCTGATTTTGTTTCACTTACGAGTAGCTTGGATTTATGAATTTGGGGGGAAGAACTGAATGCCCTGGGGCTTTTTTCCCTTTTCCTGGAATCCAGTTGTCTTGACGATCCGGATGGATTTCCCCAGGTGTGTGGCAGGTCCTTCCAGTATGTAGGCCTGAGTGTTCCCTCACTTCAGGAAGAGTTTTGATCTGTAGGTGTTAGCATCGTTTCTTTTCCAGTGCTTTGGTTTTCTTCTTCTGAGGCTTGTGTTGCCCTTGGATCTGATTTTCTTTCAGATCCCGTGTATTTCTTGGTTTCTGTCTGGCAACTTTCATTTTTCACTTTCCGTCCCCGTTTATCTCACTGTGCTCTCTGTGGTGCCTCTTTGCTCTTACCTTCCTTCTAGTTTAGTTTCTGTTTCTGAACTTTTGCCTTATATTTCTAGTTATTTCCTGTGCTCTGTTTTTGTACATGCATGCTGGCTGGTCACCTCATATCTGATTTTCCATAATTCTGATTTATGCTGTTCTTTCATAGCTTCTATTGTTAATTTCTTCCAGCTCATTTGGAAATAATAGGTTAAACGGAGCTTCTGTTTTGTGGAATGCCTTCATGTCTCTAAGTGTGCCATTCAGGTGTTATTATTTCTTTTATTTTCCAGAAAATCTTTACATGGGATCCATGGGATCCACAGTCCTTTTGTTGTTTTTATTGTTACAGATAGTCTTTCTGGTTCTTTTAGGAGGAGGTTTCGTTGTAGGTGTGGGAGTGGACCAGGATAGTTTTGTAACTTCAAAACTCTGGGGTTCTTTGTAAGCACAGAATGTTAAAATATACAGCTGCTCCTCGAGCCACCGTCCCAGGACTTTCTGAGAGCTGTCCCTTCCTCTTCCCCTTCATTTTAACCTTCATTCCCTTTTTTGCCCCGTGCATCCATTCTGTCCTATTGGGGTGCTTACTTCCCGTGGTTCCTTCTCTGTGCAGGGCTCTCTCCCGCTGTAAGGGAGCTCCCACTGGCTCCACCCAGGCCTCCCTAGAGCCCTGTACCCCGGGCCACACTCTCCTGAAAGGTCTCCCATTTCCACCCATTTTTACATCTTTCTGCTGAGTTTTGCACTTGGGGTAGGGAGACCTCTCCTTTAGGAGTTTTGGGGGATCTCCGAGTTCTCAGCTCCCCTGACTTGTCTTCTCTCTGTTGCTGATACCACGTGGGTCTTGGTGCCCTCTGAGGTATTCCTTGTCACCTGGTTTTGTGGAAACTGATGCCCGTGGGTTTTTTTTCCTTTTTCCTTTCCTTTTATTTTTTTTTTTAAGACTGTGAAAAACTCAATTTGCAGGTTATTGAAGCAAACCTAAATGGAGAATTGAACTTGAAAATAGAAACTGAATTAGTGTGTGTTACAACTCATTTTAAAGATCTCGGAAATCCTCCACTAGGTGAGTTTTCTAGTGGGTTATAGTTTGCTTTTCATGTTTCAGGTAACCTACCTATTGAATGTAAAAAGGTTGAAATTGAGTTAACTTTGTTTCATGCTTGGGGAAAGACCAAAGAGACTGAGATCGGACTGCCTGTTCCTGCAGTGCAGTGGGCAGTTGGCAACCAAGGTTGGGCTGTGCCACCAAGCAGCTGTGGGATCTGCACAGGGTCTCCTTTCTTCTCTTTACAATTTGTTTCAAGCTAAATAACCTCTAGGATTCCTCCAAAGTTTCTCACTTGGAATGGAGTCAGAAACGCAGGTACGTTTCTTCTTTTTTACTCTTTTAGTCACTCCTGTGCTCATAAAATTAGATTAGCAGGTGAAAAACTTTTTTCACCTGATCACATTTTTTATCTCATACAAGGTAGTAGGGCCAGTGGAGTCCGTTCAGTAAGCAGTGAACGGTGGGGCCCCTCGCGTGGGGAGGCAGGCTGTCGCTTTGCTGCTGCTGTGCAGATCATCTTGTGCCACACCCGTGTTCCAGAACGCACAGAATCGGTTGCTTTTTGAATTAAGATCTGTTACTACAAGTTTGCTTGAACATAAACACAATTTTTAGCATAGTGTTGCAAGGGATTTTTACTTTATAATGAGGTGCATACTGTGTCAGCAGAGTGAGACTCATATGATGAGGGCTTTGATGATATTGTGTAAAATGACTTCTTTTGGTGTCATTCATTTTGTTCATTTTAATAAACACAAAGCAGGACTTACCTTTGCTACTTTCCAAGGGGTTGGAAGAGCGTTTTCTTTTTTTTCATTCTACTTTAGAATGAGAGGCCTCGCATTAGCTCTATACATTTCAGCTCTTTGAGTACTAACAAAGATCAGTTTCTTTGACGTGAAGGGGGAGATAGAGTCATTTTTCAAGTTCCTGTAAATGAAGACCCCCCAGAAATTATTATAGTATTTTAAATAGATAGGACCTAATAAACACTTGCTTAATGAATGACGACATTTACAAGTTGCAGTATTTCTCCAGGATGCTAAAATCAGTGGTAAGGTGAATCATTTATTTAAGTAAACATGCATTTTCTATCTCCACGTTTCTTGTTACATCCAAAGATGTTGTATTTAAAAACAGTCATGTCATTGTAGCCTCTGAAGATGCTGCTGAAAACAGAAACCCAGAACAAATGGCTGAAGTGCACGTAGATATTAGGAAGCTCCTACAGTTTCTTGCTGGACAGCAAGTAAATCCTACAAAGGCCTTGTGCAGTAAGTTTGGCTCTCTGTTTTGTTTTTCATATTTTAAATACTTTAGTCAACTCTAGTCCAACAGATTGCATACAGTCTCATAAATGCAAAAAAAAAGCTCAGTTATTTGGATTTGAACTTTTTGGGACAGGCAGGTTTTTTCAGGTTTCCCAGATTCAGAAGTACCTAGAGGTGGCAGCAGAGAAGCAACTCCTGGGTGCTCTGTTCTGCCTGAAGACCTGTAGCCACACTGGCTTGGCAGGCTGGCTGTGGGCTGCCTCACGTGGCCATCTGCGGTGGGTCTGTGCCTGCAGAGATACCGTTAGGAGAATGGGCACAGATCATCCAGCATTTGCTGTGTTGGCTGATTTTCTGTATCAGAGTCACAGACACAGTTTTGCTCTGAGTTCCCATTCATGAGGGCTTGTTTCCTTTCTGTGTCTGCCCTGAGCTGTGCTCACTGCTCCATACCTCCTGTTCGGCTGCTGATTTGTTCGCAGTCATCTTTTGACCCTGGTCGGCCCCCTCTTCTGAGGTTATGCACCTGCTCTGGCCCTCTTCATCCAGTCAACACACATGAGGAAGGCTTTACTTGCTGGGAGCTTTTCAAGGCTCTTTCTGTCTCCTTGCCAGCCTGGATTTGGAGTTCCACCTTTTGTGGAATAGCTCCCAGGCTGAACTCTCAGCCACTAGTGAACAGAGCTAAGAAGGCTGACGGCCCAGGTCTGTACGTCATAACCTTCACGTCTTCAGCACACTCTGGAGAAGGAGCAGAGAATTCTAGGTGGCTGTGGCAAGGACCAGCCCATGAGAGACGTGAAGGGAAACAGAAGAGACCAGAGAGGAGAGACCATGGGAGGTGCGAGGGTGTTAGGATAAGGGAGGACACTGGATGGAGTGATGGGCACAGAAGGAGGTATTGCCAGAGCAACAGCAACAGGGGTAGAGAGGGAGAAGCTAGAATAGCCCGGATCCTGGGAGAGTCTTGGGGGACAGGACCTGTGTCCACCTGTGCTGCATCTTGAAACACTTGGATGTGGACGGTGTCATGTTTCTATGGCTGAGTGTGGTGGAAGCTATGCTGGAGTGCAGGGTCTGTAAAGTTGGAAGGTAGCGCTTCTGAACACCTTGGTATGAGTGGAGATCACCTGGCGGTCTTACAAAGCAGACTCCTTGTTCAAAGTTCTGGGCCAGGCGGTGTCATGTTTCTATGGCTGAGTGTGGTGGAAGCTATGCTGGAGTGCAGGGTCTGTAAAGTTGGAAGGTAGCGCTTCTGAACACCTTGGTGTGAGTGGAGATCACCTGGCGGTCTTACAAAGCAGACTCCTTGTTCAAAGTTCTGGGCCAGGCCTTGCAGCTGCATTTGTAACAAGTTTCTGGGCGATACCTGGGCTCTGGATCCCGGCAAGCGTGGTTTGAGTATGAGAGTGAAATACCCTCCTCTGCAGAGTGTTGGACATGGGTGTGGGGGGCCCCTGAGCTGCACCATGTCGTCCTTGAACTTGCCACTTGTGGGCCTTCTGAGTAATCATCCAGGGCTGGCAAAGAAGACAGTAGAGTTCTTATCAGCACAGGCAGCTGACTGAGCCACGTGTACTCTCTGAAAGGTCACTTTGGTGTGTCCAGGTGTAGCAGAGGAAGATGGACCCCCAATTTGTGGATGTAGCAAATACTTAAAAAAATTCCTATGTTGAACTTCTCATACCTTTTCCTTATCTCCCCTAAATCTCCTTTTCTGCCTGCATTTTCTTTCTCTGTCAGTAGCCTCCCCCTGGTGTTGGCTCAGCTGTCCCCTCCTATACTCTTGTAGGATACCCACTGCTGCCCTCAGTCCCTATCCCACCCACTCTGTGCTGTCACACCACCTCTCCTACAGTATGTGCATCTTTCCGCTTGTCCTCTGTGGTCCCTTCCCTGACCTCTGATTCCCCTGGGATGAGTCTCTGTAGCTGGGCCTGCCTACCATTTCTCATCACTCAGTCACATGTCCTTTGGAGCCAGCTCTCAGTGGCTGTCACACTGTGTGCTCCTGCCCCTGCCCTCTCCACGCTCCTTACTTTCCTGCTTGGTCATGTGCCTGATGCCTTGGATTTTACCCTTCACCTGGCACAGTGCCTGGCCATGGCCTTAACAGGGTGTGCAGGACTGTTGAAACACGGGCACCTCTCCTGCACTGCAGTGAGTGACGCAGCCTGTCTCAGGTGTCGGAGGATCATGGGCACTCGGCTCTCTCAGCACTTACACCACTCACTCGTGGGAAGCTGCTTTCACCTGGAAGGGCACTGATGTGGGTAAATTTGGTTTGCCAGGAGGCTTGCCTTCTGGGTTCTTCACTCTCCCTCTGTCGTCCTCAGTGGGGGGAGGGGCCTGTGCTAAAGCCGGGATGCAGCCTCGGCAGGAGCAGTGAGAGAGGAGAGGCCACGGGCCTCCACAGTGCCCTGGGAGATTCCAGCAGTCGCTTACAGCAGGAGGCGGGGTGGAAAAGCTGTTCTGGTAAGGGGGCCCACAGTGTGTGTGCATCTTTGGATCTCTAAAATAGTGGGTTTTTCTCTCCCCAGATATTGTGCATAACAAGATCGTTCACTTTGATTTGCTTCACGAGGATGTCTCCCTTCAGTACTTCATCCCGGCCTTGTCCTAGCACCACCTCACTGGACTTGGGAGCCCAGCGACCTTGTCATGATGGGGTTAGCAGTAGGGGTATGTGTTCCCCGTCATTTGTGTCCTCACAGCACCACAGGTCTGTGCACTGTGTGCGTTTCTCCTCTGTAACAGTTCAACTAAAAATAGAGGGATTGAAACACTTTTGGATGAACGTATTATTTCATTTTACTCATGTCTGTTGTTTTGCTTTCAAGACGTGGAAAAGGTAGAAGTTGTTTATCCAGACTTTCCATACCAGCTTCTCATTGAAGGTGAGCACGTCCTCGGGTACCGAGACTTGGTGTAGGGGTCAGAATTTGCAAGAGCGGTGCCTAGGGGGCCTGGCCTGCCTCCAGCTCAGCGCGTCGTGCCGCACAGTCGCTGGCCCTTGTGTTTCTGCGTGTTCACCGCTCCTTGCTCCTGTCCCTCGGAGCCCAGTGGCACAAAGGATGGCCCCTTTGTCAGCACATTGACTGCCTTGGGGACTCAGAGTACTGTGGAGTGTCACAGCTGCAGCGCTCGGAGCCTCTGTCTGACTACCTGGCGACACAAGCCCTTTCCCTATGATGCCTGGAGAGCTGGCCTAGCAGCAGAGCTCTCTGCCCCTGGAGGCGTCCTGCCACTTCTCTTGGTTTCACCCTGCGCCAGCTCGGATCTAGGTGATAATTCCATATGGTTCTTTCTTCCACAATGGAAAGCATACCTTTGTATTTAGGGTGGAAACAAACAACTTGTAAGCTAGGTCTGTGTGAAGTGGAGATACCACGTTTCTGTTTGTACGTCAGAGCTGTTCAGTGCTGCTGGATGCATTCCCCCATTCTCCCTGAAGCACCTGCCACCACAGTTGCTACTTTCACTGACTCTCATTTGTCCTGTGTGGTGGAATGTAAATACATTATCTTAATGTCACATTACAAAGTTGAGACCGACGTTGCTTGGAATAAGATGAAGAAATGGAAAATCAGCAAAAATGAAAATTTCTTTTTTGGCTTTTTCATATTATTTGGTAAAACCAGTATATTTGAATGACCCAACTGATGTTTAACAATGTTAGTTTAAATAGGATGTAACATTATCCATTGCCATGTCCATTTAAATAGTCCTCAGTTACAGCTCTCATTTTTCAAAATAAAGATCTTTGAAAATGTACTCACACAAAGCAAAATATTACTAAATATTTTATTAACTTGATAACCCATGGACATCAATAGTAACATTATGGGAAAATAGTTAATATAAAACAGTACAAAAGTATTACAGACAGTAGCTTATCAATGTCATCTTCATTCCACTGGTGGAATTTGCTGACATAGTAACCTTTATTCGTGAAATGATTTCATTCACAAAAATATTATTCTTTGCCATCACCTCAGCTTTAAGCTGTTTGGACATTATTGTAACGTTTTCAGTAAAGGGCACTTGCTTTACCCTGGATAGAAACTCCTGAATAATTTTTTCACCTTGCTGTCTTGCCAGATAGCTCTTTGCTGCTGGTTCAATTTCATCTTATCCTTATGATTCTCCAATATTATGAAACTCCTCCAGTTCCGGGGTTTTTGTTTAGCACACTGTATTCCATGCCTAGGGACATTAGTGAGCTCTGCAGTGTGAATCCCACAACTTTGATCATAGACACCTTTCTCCATCTGATAAGGCATAATTAAGGTCTCTGCAGTGGTTAGTGCTGTGACATGTGGATTATTAACCGTTGGTATCTGATTGGTCAAGGCAGTATGTTCATGAAAATGGGTTGCAAACACGTGAAAAAGCACCAATCTTTGTTGCAGTGTAATCTGGTATAGCCCATGTTAACCCATCATAGGTAGAGGTTCCTCTTCCCAATTCATCTGTGATTATTAAAGGATCTTTGGTTGCAGACCTGAGGGTAGAAGCAATTTCCAACATTTCAGCCATGAATGTAGAGACTCCTTTCAATTGACTGTCTCCCCTACCCAAGCCAAGATGCAGTCCACAATGGACGCTTCTGCTGACTCACATGGCACAAAACACCCATTTGGGCCGTGAGTACTAACATCCTAGTTTGGCGAATATACATAGATTTACCTCTCATACTGGGGCCAGTAATAATGTGGAACATCTGTTTATCTTTTTCAGAGTATACATCATTAAGAATAAACGCAACTTCATCTTGAACTTCAACACTAGCACGTCTGGATGCTTTCAATATAATTCTTCCTTTTCCTTAACAATGGCTGGTCATACACTTGGAACGGGTGCTCCATTTGACACATGAGCAAAGCTGGCAACAACATTTAACCAAACTAACACATCATCCAATCTACATTGGTTCTGCGTAGTCTGAAGAAATATTGACAGTTTCTTTAACAGTGGCATTCTGGGCTTCCTAACACTCAGTTTTATTTTTGGTATATTCTTCATTGAAAGAAGTCAGTTTTCTGTTGGTGAATTTAACACCATTCTTCTGGGTATCTACTGTACTAGTGTTTTTATTGTTATGAAGGACTTTTCTCAAAGAAAGTGAGCTGAGATGCCGGGTACCGTTCAAGCTTTATTAAAAAAAGAAATCTGCTGGGCTGTACTCAAAATGGAGGACATCCTGGTGCTGCCCTGAAAATGGGGGACAGCACCTAACATAGGGTGGTGGGAGCTTATATTGGCATGTTGGCACCAAGAGCTGGGTGATGTAATTCTGGGGTGGGGATTGAGTTAGGTCATGGGAATGGAGAATTCTGCGCATGCGGAAATGCTGAAAGTTTCATTTTCTCCAAAACCATGAGGCTTCTTGTAAAAGAGAACTGGGGAGGGGAGGTGAGGAGGTGGACAGTGCCATTTTGTACTTGGGCTTGTCTAAAATGGCACTGGTTATGTTGCAGATCTATTGTTTTCCTTCCTTGCAGGTTGTGCAAAAATAATATCCAAACTGTACACTGGAGTCCAGTTCAGTTTGCTCGCCAGGGTCCGAGCCAAGTTCTCTTGCTGCTCTTATTAATGTTGACTGCATCTTCTTTTCCAAGTCATCCATTATCTCTCTTAATTCAGTCAGATTAGGATCAAATGAAGGTTTTACAAGGAATTCATGATTTTCCACCTGATCCATACCTAAAGTTGTTTCTACCATTTCCTGAAACTTGGAGAAATCAGAACGAAGATCAATAAGAGGAGTCACAAAACTGCCAACAATAATGACTGGTGTTTTCCTTCATATTTTACCAGAGCCAATGTAACATTAGGGAGTCGACTTATACCCTGATAGAGTTTGTAACAATCTTGTAAGTCTTTGAAATTTCTTTGCCTGTTAAGATCTGGGAATAGATGAAGTAAATCTTGTTAAATTCTGCCTCAATTCTCTGTCTTCTACAAAAGCTTCCACTTGATTTAATCTGTCTTCTCTTCTGTTCTTTTCCATGAGAGGCTGCTTAGTCCATTGGTTAACTAGTCTTTGTCCTTGAGGGGTTTTACATTTATTCAGCAAAGCAGCCAGAGACTGAGGGCCAGTTATATCTTCAACAGAACCCTAGAAAAGGTTAAGGGCTCTGATTGCTGGAATATCCAATTCCATGAACTGGCTGAAGTCAAAAATAGTTCAAAGTGTCCAAATTTGAATCATCTGGTAAGAGTTTGAAAAACTTTATTATTGCAGACAGTGATGAGACTGCAGCCTGATTCTCCATTTCTGGCAAGACAACACTATTCATCTCTTCTCCCTTTTTGCCTTTCAACAACTGGCTGAGGTCCTGATAAATGTCTTTTGTGAAAAAGCTCGTTTTCTTTCTGTAATCAGAATTCCTCCTCTCTGAATAACTTGCCTCAGTTTCCCCATGTCCTCAGCGGTCTCTGCTCCTGGTAAAACACATTCCTTTGGTCCAGTCTGAATCAGGAGAGCCTCCTGATTGGAAAACTGATCATTATCAGGGAACTCACACAGTCCTAGCTTCCTCTGTATGGAGTCAACATACCTAACTCCACAACCTGTTTTTGGCCATCAACTGTGGACATTTTAACACGCACAACACCAATAGAAGCTGTCAAATCATTGTTCCCAAAGAGAATGTCTTCAAACTGAGATTGTCAAGAGAAGCCAAGGTCAAAGGTTCAGTTCTCTGTACCAGCCAGCTTAAATGCCAGATACCAGTCATTCTCTGTCATGGTTGGCTTGTTCCAGTGCATGAAGCTCACCTTGGCCGTGCCCTCCAGCTGCAGCATCTCTTTTGGCTGCTAAACCAACATTTCAAAATGAGAAGTTACTATTTTAATTTCTAAAGCCTCTCTCCTCTCTTTGGCTTGTAACAGAACTAATTCCAGCTGCAGTGATGAAACTTAAAAATCATGATGCAAAATGAAATGATATCCGAATATAATTTTAGAAAACTTACATTTCTGTTAAAGGAAATGTGTTAGTGATTTACCAATTACTCTGTATAATGTTTCTTATCAGACAACCTGATTTTGATGATTTTATGGATGGCTCAAGATTTTCTCTCTGGAGCGTGGCTAAAGAAGCCTTAACTGGGAGTCAGGAAGCTGGGGTCTTTCTAAATCTTGTCACAACTTGCTGCTTAGTTTTACCAAGTCCTCCACCTCTTTGCATCTCAAAGAGCTATAAAACCATGGAGGGATCCGATAGAAAACCACAAGCTTATGGAAATGCACAGTACTGCTTTATTGAACAATATACCACGGTAAAATTTTGTTAGGTCAATAAATAGCAAGTTAGTCCATTTAGAGGAATAAATAGGATTTGAAAAATGATTTCAACACTAACATGTCAAAGTGTTGAAATCTCTTTTTAAATAGCTTTCTGGATTTTAGAGAAACACTTTCACTGCCTGTGATTGTATGAGAGTTTGTGGTTGTGGAATACTGTCCTACATCTGGGGCAGATACAACAGCCTGTGCCTTGCCTGCCCTCCTCCCTTGTAGGCCCTCTTGAACTGAGTTTTGAGGCCACCCTGTGCCAGGTCAGGTACATGTGAGAATTGCTAGTCCAGCGTCTCGTAGCTAACATCTGAGCAGCCTTGCCATCCTCCCGCAGCCTTTTTTTGGTCCAGCAGGGATCTGCTTACCCATCAGGTGACCAGGCTGAGCTTATAGTGTGGTACTGGGCCCAAAAGATGGCTTCAACGTTAGTCGTGGGGCTGGATTCTGGTTCTGCCACCAGGCAGAGAAGGTGTTAAATGATGTTCATGTTCCTGGTATATGTTGCCAGATTGGCAGAGCATCCATCCTTTCAGAGAGATGTAATTCTGTACTTTTTAAAAAAAGCCTTATTGAGATATAATTCACATACCATGCATTTACCCATTTAAAGTGTACAATCCAATGGTTTTTAGTATATTTAAAGAGTTGTGCAATCATCAATACAATCAATTTTAGAACATTTTCATCACCTAATAAACTCCCTAATCATTAATAGTCATTTCCCATTTCTCCCCTCTTCATGGTCTCTCCACGATCTCACCCCACCCCCAGCCCCAGGCAATCCAATTTTAGAACATTTTCATCACCTAATAAACTCCCTAATCATTAATAGTCATTCCCCATTTCTCCCCTCTTCATGGTCTCTCCACGATCTCACCCCACCCCCAGCCCCAGGCAATCACTCGTCTAGTATGTGTATCTATATATTTGCCTATTCTGGACATTTAAAAAAAAAATCTTCCTATCTAACTGTAATCATAGACGCTTTGACCAACAATCCCCCATCCCCCATCCTCTATCTACCCTAACCACCCTAGCCTCTGATAACACTATTCTACTCTCTCCTGTGAGATTTGCTTTTTTTAGAGTCTGCAGTGAGATCATTTAGCATTTGTCTTTCTGTGCCTGGTTTATTTCACTTAACATATTCTCCAGGCTAATTCATGTTGTCACAAATGACAGGATTTCATTCATTTTTATGGCTGAATAGTATCCCATTGTGTATATATACCACATTTTTTTTTTACCCATTCATCTGTTGGTGGACATTTAGGTTGATTGGCTATTGTGAATAGTGCTGCAATAAACATGGGAGTGCAGATGTTTCTTTGAAATACCGATTTCATTTCCTTTGGATGTATACCCAGTAGTGGTGATAGAGGAGGTGCTCAGTTTCCCTGGGCTCTGGTTTCAGGTCATGCTTCTGTATTTCCAGCTACTTCCTGAGGTCTCAGGCCCCCTCCTCTGAG